AACAAAAAGACTTCATTTCGAAAACTTGTATATACACTCCTATTACCCCGTCTCGGGTGTCAGCGCCGCAGGCCTAGCAAGATGTGCGCCAGGCGCGTCGCAGCGTAACAGTGTTTCGTGAGATATCGCGAAGCCTGTTACGCGAGACGTGGTCTGGCGTACATATAGCTAGTTTTACCATGGTTCACATTTTCATAAAATGTCAGTACTATTTACTGCATTAATACTTTGCACGAAACTGTCTGAGCGCCGGCTACTTGTATTTTCTATCTCGATCTCGCGCGCGATCGTCATCTGTCCGGTGGGCGGAGCAGGACCGGAGGGGAGAGAGCTGCTGGGTGGTGGGGGTAGCGCTGGGCGGCCGGGTGGGGGAGCGGCCGCCCGGCCGCGGCCCGTCGGGCGGAGTGGGGGAGCGCCTCCGCTCATTTCCACCGTCCGGTTTTGTTCTTCTTACTTCCGCTCCGCGCTCCATTGGAATACCCTATTCTTTCTCGAGTTATCGTGCGGACAGACAGCCAAACAAACAAACGAACAGAATGAAACTTTTCCGGTCAGTGGAGTAATAGGCTTCGCTAATCGCTCAGCCAGTTAGGTTTTGAACTTAATTTGCCGGCATTGTGAACAACAACGAGGATGTCTAAGTCACCCTCACACGCAAGAAGTACTAACACCTTAAAGTTTTCATTGGCTTCCTATTGAACAATGTACTGAGGAAAAACCTCTCGTTTGATTTTGATATCCATGCCGAGGTTTATTACTAGCTATATGTACGCCAGACCACGTCTCGCGTAACAGGCTTCGCGATATCTCACGAAACAATGTTACGCTGTGACGCGCCTGGCGCACATATAGCTAGGCCTGCGGCGCTGACACCCAAGACGGGGTAATAGGAGGGTATATACCATTTTTCGAAATGAAGTCTTTTGAACGATTTAATCGACCATTTGATCATTTTCACCTCATTTTGGCCAAGAATTGCCCCTAGCACCTAATCGGTACAAGATAGAGCCAAACGAACGAAATTTTCGCCCATAGGGCTCTACTTTGACGAGTTACCCCTTAGGAACCCATAAAACAAGGTAGATGTACGCCAGATTACGTCTCGCGTAACAGGCTTCGCGATGTCTCACGAAACACTGTCACGCTGCGACGCGCCCGGCATACATCTACCTTGGCCTGCGGCGCTGACACCCGAGTCGGGTAGTGGAAAAATGTACAGAAAGATACGGGCCTACGGCCCGTCAACGGCCCATCACCTCGACTAAGCATGCAGGGTTGAACATTTTTTCGCTTATTTTCGTCAAAAATACCCTCTAGCGCCTCAACGGTTTGAGTTAGAGCAAAACGGACAAAATTTTGTTTCCAAGGACGCTACTTTGATGCGTTACCCCCTAGGAAACCTTAAATAAATATTTTCAATAAACGTTATTTTTGGGACCTGTTGTTTTTGATTTTTTTTTCAATCCAATTTTTCAGCTAGAATGGTCATCTTCGAACTCGACCTGTCTTTTGATGGTATAAAACGACCCTGAAAATCCCAGGTCGCTCGCTCAATTCGTTCTCGAGTTATCGTGCGGACAGATAGACAGACAGACGTGCAGACAGACAGACAGACAAAGTTTTTTTCGACCAGACGCAGTAATAGGCTTCGCTAATCGCTCAGCCAATCAGACAAAAATATTTGATAAAAATACATATTGTGACCTGTAGTTTTTGATTTTTTTAAAAGCCAATTTTTGAGCTAGAATGCTCATCTTCGAACTTAATCTGTCTTTTTATGATACAAAACGACTCTGAAAATCCCAGGTCGCTATCTCAATTCTTTCTCGAGTTATCGTGCGGACAGTCATACAAACAAACAGACAGACAAACAAACAAACAGGCAAACAGAATGAAACTTTTCCGGTCAGTGGAGTTATGGGCTTCGCTAATCGCTCAGCCAATTAGTGTGTAATAGAACATTTTAACATAAGAGTTGGCAGTATAACTCAAACTAGTTTGCGCATAGTACTTTTCAAAGATAGGCCTGTTTTAGCATACTTAGAGGTTTTCAGAGCTTTCCGTGGCTCCAAAAATTCTGGGAAAGCTTGAGAAGGTCTTATTTTGTGAATGCTTTAAGAAATAAAAAAGAGAAATGTTCAGAAACATATGCTCTCAGACTTCCAAATTTCACCATACTGTCCCCTTAAAGCAAGGGGAAATAGGCTTGAACTTCGGTGTACGTTTCCTTGAACTTCGGCGAACTTCGGTGAACTTCAGTGAACTCTAGTGAACTTCGAGAACTTCGGTGAACTTCGCGGAACTTCGAGTGAAGTTCTCGAACTTCGGTGAACTTCGCGGAACTTCGAGTGAAGTTCTCGAACTTCGACCTGATCAAGAGATATGAAAGCAAAATTTTCCCTCCGTAATCTTTGTAATTCGGCCCCTAAATACCTGCTTTGAGAAAGCTGGGGACTCGCTTATAGTAAGCACTCAAAATCGCTAAGTTCAGCCTTGAAAATGTACTTATTTATTTTGAACTTCAGTGAACTTCTATGATTTATTTTGAACTTCGGAGAACTTCGACATTTATTTTGAACTTTGGGGAACTTCGACATTTAATTATGAACTTCGAGGAACTTCAATGTCTGATTTTGAACTTCGGTGAACTGCGTGAACTTCGATGGACTTCGGTGAACTTCGGTTGATTTCGTTGAACTTCGGTTGATTTCGGTGAACTCCGATCAAATTTTACATAGCGAACTTCAGTGAACTTCGGCTGAACTTCGGCCGAAGTTCATGAACTTCGACTTCGGGTGTACAATTTTTCGGAGCCTATTTCCCCTTGCCTTAAAGACGACGGGTTTTAGCGGACCGAGGGCCCGTTACATCATTTGATTATGTTCTTCAGCAAATCGCGTGACGGAAATCGCCGCCAGCAGGCCAAGCAGGCCCGGCCCCTGTCGAACGGAAGTGGCCGGCGGAGGGAAGCGGAGCTGGCTACTCCGTTTGGCGGAAGGGCGGGCCTGCCCGTTACACAAAATTTTTTCAAGATCAGAACTTTTACTAAATATCTTTATCGAACATCACAAGTTTCATTTCCCTAATTTTAGAGTGAAAAATCCCCCGACAATTGCTGTTAGCATGGCAAATTTGGGGGGCCGAAAGGCCCCATTTCTTACACACCTGTTCCTGGTGTCAGGGCCGCAGGCCTAGCTATATGTGCGCCAGGCGCGTCGCAGCGTAACAGTGTTTCGTGAGATATCGCGAAGTCTGTTACGCTAGACGTGGTCTGGCTTATTATAGCTTATTATATTGTGACCCTTTGACAACAATAACCCACTGCTAATAACTGCTAACAATGACATTAAAATTCTTAATTTATATGCACGAAAAGGGGTGCATTCGTTTACTGTGTACCTGTGCGGAACCTGTGCAGTGAAGATTAAGGAAGATGAAGGACTCGGATGATATCAATTAAAATAGATTGGCGCGACTGTTCTATCACCTCAGGCAGACATGAGAGGGGTTTATCTTGTCGGAGTGATAGCACCTACCGGCGCATGTGCTGGGTGTGCGTTCAGTACTGCTCTA